ATAGTCATTGCAATCCATAACTCCATTTAAACTTCCACTTAAAAATTATGAATGAATTAAAATCACAATATTTAGCACAAATAATAGGTTGCAGCAAAAGAAACCGGCGATTTTTTAAAAGAAAGTAAACACATTTTTTTAAATTGTATAATGAACTTTAAGACGCCGCGGCCGCGGTAGCCGAGTGGTTAGCATTGCATACTGCCATTCGGAAGGCTCGAGTTCAAGTCTGGTGTCGTACTAACATCCAAAACGTTATAGAAAAATAATTTAAATATACTGCGGTCGCCCCTCGGCATGGAAAGCCAAACCCTCCAAGTGTATTTCTGACATGAAATAAAGCTCCTCATAAAAAACAATCAGATCTTAAGAGGCGGCATTCGAGGAGGAGCTCGACCGGAAACCACTTCAGCGGTTACCAAGCCCCATCATCATCATTATTCCACGCTCATGGAACTTCTGGTCTTTATCTGCAAAAAAACTGAACCAAGTGCGATTTTATAGCCTCGCCATTTTCGAAGGTTTTACCATTTAATGAGTTCTGCAAGGATCAACACAAATGGTAGTCTGAGCGTCAAGTCAGGTTCTGAGTGGATGGATCAACAGTTCCCAGCCAAGCTCTCTCAGCGAGTGACCAAAGATGTGTGCGGTCTAGCATTGTCCTGGTGGAGTATGAAACCTTTACGATTTACCAATTGTGGCCTCTTCTCGTTGATGGATGTATTCAATTTGTCGAGTTGTTCATAGTAGACATCGTTTGGTTCCTTGGAAGCAGCTCAATATATACCACACCCTTCCTATCTCACCAAACTGACAGCATAATATTCTTTTGCTGAATATCAGCCTTTGATGTGGTTTGTAGCGTTACATCATGATTGGACCACGACCAGCTTTGATATCGTAATAATTACTTCACTTGGCCGACCTTGCCATATCTTTGAGTGAAAAATCTCCCGAACGGAATTCGACAAACCAACTTCGACACTCTGTTTCTTTTAAAGCCTTACCACCATACAAATTATGCAACTTTTTAGCAAACTGCGCTGCATTTTTTCCTTTAAGGAAATAATAAGGTAAAATATGGCTAAAATGTTCGTTTATGGGCTTCCATATTAAAATTGACGCCAAACAAACAAATATAAACATAATTCCTCGTAATATTTTCCAAAGCAAGCTATAAAGCTGATTTAAGAACATACGCCAAAATTACAATATTAGATTCCGCGGAATTAGGTGTGCTAGACAGCAGAGCACAAGTATTTCTTTAAGTTCTTCATTAGCAAATGATGTGTGTGAAAAAAAAAAATTAGTAAGCATTCCATTTCGATTTGCACGGCGGATGGCAAGAAAAGTATGTTCCAAAAAGAAATTTTAGGAGTCGATTTTTGTATTAAATTTAAATTAGCGCCATATTTTATTCCGAACTCAAATTAGACTTGGTGAAAAATAAATATCCCAATTTCGGAAAAGAAGGACTTGGAAAAATTTCCTTAATGGAGTATGCAATAGAACTCGACCAAATATTGTCCAATAAAACAGCGTTATTTTCCTAGAAGGTCCGTCTGTTTCTTGGCTCCAGAAAACATTGTAACATCACCGAAAAGGACACTTATCCACTTCCTCACATTGACGGTATCCTGAGAAGAATACCAAAGGCTAAATAGATTGGAGATTACACATGTTTCACTGCTCTTAATCGCCCGATTGATAGATATTGTGTAATGCCTTTTGGCTTATGCAACGGCTCACAAGCATTTTACCACTTTATGATCTTTAAATAATGACTGTAACTTTGGATAGAACGAGGTTGATATTCAACCGGCATGCCATCAACTTCTGTACTGACGATGGCACTAAACAAGGAGGGGTTAGACCACTTGCGAAATAAGATGATGATGGTCTGTAAAATTTTTCGTTTTGAAAATAAAAAAATTTCAAATGGAAACAAAATCCAAATAACCATTTAATTATTCGATTTAATTCACAGGTGGAAATTGGGACCATGAAGTTTTCCCTGCCTGGATTGGATACTCCTTTGTTATATCCACATTCATTTACTTTTACAGTCAAGGATACTATGTAACACTTCAGCCACAGCAAGAAAAACGGTCGAGGAACATGCTTTGTCAGCTGTTTCCCATCTTTGGTGCAATCCCCTGTAACTGCACTTACACTTAAGATTAAATTGCTTCTCTATTATTTGGAACCGCGTTGGGCAGTATACCGCAGACAAAATCAGGCCGATTCCTCTGTTTTTATAAGGGATTATTGAAGAATAGTGAAGGAAACTACATATGCTTTAAACGGTTCCTTATGAGCATGATGTACCACTATAAGCTTAAAATAATTATACTCATTGGTGAAACGTGTTTCAGATCATCAGTTTCGTGAATCTGAGCGGTTCGCTATATAAATGAGTACAAACAATAAACTTACTCGCCTATCGAGGTTGTACATTTGGTTAGCAACATGCCTCAGTCAAAACAAGTCAGAGGAGAAGAAAACAACAAAAATCGACATTGATGTCGTTAGTTTAAAAATCAAAGTTTGCTAAGTATGTAAGCAATGGCTATACGACTTAGACACATTACACAAGTTAAGCATAGGAAAAATTTTCTAACTCCTATGTTCATAAGAGATTGAAAGAGTTACAGCACTCCCGTAAGTTCTTGCAACGCTATGCAGACAGTTGTAATCTAATAATAATAATACGAGTATAGTAAGAATATATTACATTTTACTATAGTTTTAACGAACTTTTCTTCTATGACTAGTACATAACTCCCAATATTCTGTAAGGGAAGTACTTTGTACTAAATTAAATATTTTTTTAGGTTTTTCGAATTAATTATTTAATTTTATTTTTTTACCAATCTCATTAAACTAGTATTGTGTTACTACATACATACATATATATATTCCACTATACAGTGAGCATGCATTTATTTGATTAAAACTAGCTTCCAAAGATTTGACTGTATCCAAAAATAGCGTGTGACGGCTTATGAAAAATCCTTTGAACTCTTGATCCACCGATGTGTAGGAAGTTTCCGTACTTTCATACTTTATTATATAACTGGATATGTACTCTAAAGCGTCTTCTTTGAGTACAGTACACGTTTCTTGAGTGCCTGCCCATAGGGTGCTAAGAGCTGGAAGAACTGCCGGCTCAATTTCTTCTCCCAAACAGCTTTCATCTTGACTACTGCAAGTAATAGCAATAGTTGGATGACTCAGCTATTCGGTAGAATCTTCTGCTACATTTCTTTCTCCTTGTAGGTGGTCAGTGATCCATGCTATAAGTTAATATATGAAATAATATAATCATGATCATCTACATATTTAAAAGTTTAGCAGCTGAGTAAAAATTTAACATGAAAACTGAATAAAAGATGAAGTTAGGGGCTGAATAAAAATTGAAGGCGTAGGAATTGGTAAGGCTTTAGACAGTGAAGTTGCAGTGTCCCAATTTATAATCCGTAACCAAAAAATGGTTTGCGTATACCAAATCCCTTTTCGTAAATTCTCTTTGGCAAACATGGTTCCAGACTCTTCATTTTGTTCAGCTTGGAAAAATGATCCAACTCCATGCTCTACATTTTTTTAATATATTCTTTAATTTAAAAAAACTTAAAAATCTAATTTGAAAATTTTTCTAGAAGTTTTTATTATTTAATTAGGCTATTGGTTTGGTCAGTGCAAATAAAACTAATTTATCCACTTTTTGCCCTAAGTTTCGCAAAATATTTTAGCATCTTCAGGGGCTCTCATATCAAAAAGCTTGCAATTTTTTAATATGCGACGTCATTAGCTTATAAAATGTTCCCGTAATGTTTGGTAGCTAAATTGATATAAAACAAATATAGAAAACTTCAGCAAACATTCAAAACGTAAGCAAACATTGTAAACGTAAATAAACATTTTGCCTGCCTCTACCCCCTTGTTAAATTCGCCTTGGAATTAATTAACTGAAAAAAGTTTAATTTGCTACTCTAGTAAGTCCACTTTGCTAAATTCGCTTTGATTAATACATTTCCATTGCGTCTGACAGGAAAAAAAGCTCTTCATATAGAAACCATCAGCCGTTCGAAGGCGGCTTAGTATAAACTAACATTGTCGAAAAAACACCAAGACGTAAAACCACAAATTGAAGGAGGAACTCGGCCGAAAATCGCTTCAGCGGCGACAAAGCGGCAATAAATATATATGTAAAGAAAGAATAAATCCATATATTGGTCATGTAAAAAGTTCGGTTCGGTTTTTTATTGATTTTTCAAAATATGATAACTTTGTTTACATGCGCCGATCAATGATGGTCTCTTCCGGATGAGTGCCGCCTTCAAGTGGCAGTAGAGGGCCGAATTGAGCGTTTGGGGGGAGCAGCTCGTAGTAGATGATTCCTTGCATATCCCACCAAAAATACAGCAATCCGCTCCGATTCAGCAGCGAATCGCAGATGGAAATTCGGTCAGTCATATTTTTTTGCGGTAGTTCATGTGGCACCCAAACATCGAGCTTCTTTTTAAATCCAAGGTTATGCAAATGGTTTTCTGGTTTATCTTCAGTTCCGCTGCATAAACTAAATTAATTTTTTCAGCCGCTCTGGCTGATTTTGCCTTGATCGAAAAAAAAATTGCAACGTATAGAGAAATTTCTCTTTGCTGGTGTAAATCTTTGACGAGCACTCACAATGTACTGAGTCAATCAATCGAAAAACTGTCACAGACAAACTTTTAGCGTGAATAAACACTAGTACCATGGACAATAGCGCCATCTATTAGATAAAAACCGAAGGAACTTTTTACTACATCTAATATATATATATATATAACAAATAGTGAAGTCTGTTATGAGTCTGAAACTCACATTACTTATAACCAGCTGCAGCTTTCGTATTTAAAAGCATAAAAAAAATAAAAATAAATAATTAGAATAAAATTATGCTAATTCTATACAATATTCAGTTCAGTTCAGTTAGTTCCACTGTAATAAGTACTTGCCTGTATGGCTATACGGAATATTGGCACATGTACCGTCGCTGCCTCTAAAACTCCACTGATGAAAAGGGCATTCAATATTATCTCCTTTTACCTGTCCATTAAGTCCCATGTTTGCTCCGAGATGTGGACAGTATGCATCCAATACATTTACTTGGCCGTCAAAGGTACGAAAAACCACAAAATGTTCCCCAAGGCAAGATACGTATGTAACGTTTTTTGCGATTAATGATGATGATTCTAAAATACAATACCATCCATTGGGATAAGGAGGGGGTAGTTCAGTTATTCCTATTAAACGTGGTCTACGAAATCCATTTATGGAATGTTGTTTGCACGAATTGATTCTTTTCCAAAAATTAATAGAATTAACAGCGGGCATATAGCCGACACTCTGCAAAGACTGAAAGATTATTATTATTAGAAGTTTATTTAATTTATTTAATTTAAATTTGTATTTAGAAATATTATTTACATATAATGGGGAGATTCTATACTGACTTAGCACTAATTATAATTCCATCTTTAGATCGTGTTGTAAGTTCACGGTAGTTTTGATTTACACCTATAAAAGCGGTCGGACTATTGGCAAAGACAAAACCCTTATTAAGCTAATCCCATTTGCAATAGAAATAGGCTTGAATCAACCATTTCTTAATAGTCTCTATAGAACATCACGTTACCAAATCTAACAACGACAATCAACGAAACAGTCATCAGCAAAAAGATGCTCAGGTTTCAATAATTGGCTTATCAGGTCTTATAAACGGTATTTGCAAAATAATAACAAATTCAACAATCACCAAATTGCATAGTGTCCAAATATTTGAAAATTCTAAACAAAGGTTAAATTTTACACAGCCGTATAAGTTTGGCGAGGATACCTATTTCAGGCATAGTGGCGTAGGCACCGAAAAGGTGGTGTGCATAAATTATTTTCTCAATGATAAGGAACAATCAGTTTGATGGCGGTTGAGTATAATTTTGCATATAGGATCTTATATGGGATTTCGAGGAGGCTACCCCACGGTAATTAATGCAGAACATATTTAGAATGTTCCTTTTGTGGATTGGGCGGAGCATACTTAGGCTCCAATCGTTAGCCAGGCTTTCAACCGGCCATATTGCGCAAAGAAGCGTTAAGATAAAATATTTTTGCTGTAACAGTTTTGAAATTTGAATTCGAACCATTGAGCTAAGCGACAAGACGTAAGTCGCGGAAGTCTCAACAAATGTTTGGCTATGAACGATACATAGTTTAATTCATTTTAAATAATTTTTTTTTAACATGTTTTACACTTATTTTAGTAGAATTCATAAGTAGCTATAATTAGACCAAACAAATTCTTTATTATTCATAATTTTAATTTTTTTTTCTTATTTTTTATTGGCTAGTTATTTTGAACCAACTTTAAAAAGTATTATTTATTAAATAAAATTCATTATTATTATCTTGATAAAAACTAATATTTATTTTCTTTAAATTTGAATAATTTTTTATATTATAATATAAAAAAGACCAAGTCAGTTTTTTCCCACGTTTGGAAATATCCTCATCAACGTTTTTTACTTGAACTTAAACTATTTTGAACAGAACACAAAGACGCAATGAATGTATCGGAGGAACATAAAAGCACATGAAAAATGCATTGGATTGTATTTCTTCTATTTGACGAGTGTGATGCTAGCGAAAGTTTCGTAAATCCTTTTTCTGACATTTTCCGTATTGGAAGTGCAGCGATTTTGATAATGTCAGCTCCATACATCATAGTATTATGCAGAGAGTACGGCATTAAGAAGCTTTGATGTTTGTAAGAAATATTTTTAAAAAGTGGAAACATTCATTTCGGCTTTGCAACCAATAGATCTCAGTATAACACTCAATCTATGAATCAACACAGATTCCAGTAATTTAAGATGTCAATAGCGGCTCCTGAAAAAAACGTCTTTCTGTATTTCCGTAGTTGGTGTTTCTGGGTCTTGCTGCTCGTATATCTTCTAACAACAACATTTTTTCCTTAATTTCATTTCGGATTTCATCAACAAAACGAGCAACACCCAATCGAACAAACTCCGAAGACTCCTTTTGAAATAATAAGTTCAGTATTTGCAATGGCGCAATACAAACAAACTAATATTTGTGCCTTCATTTACAAAGCCTTGTCGGTAAGTTGAATTCGCGGAAGCAATACGTGTAACAATATGATTTACCACATTCTGTAAAAGTAAATGAACTAAATAATCTGATACATAGTAAGTATGAAAGCATTTGGATAACGCCGTTTCTTAGCATCTATTATATTATCGTATATCGGATATATATTGGCATTTCGATTTTTTGCACCCCTTTCATCAACTTGTAAGTATTCTTTGTGTAGCCTCCATCTAAATGCAATGCCAAAGATTCTTTTAGAGTGTAAGGAATCATAGATTTTATAGTTGGTTTCACTATAGACTTTAGTTTTTTTGCAACGTCCTCATCTGCAAGTAAGTCAGTAACTACGGAAGCATTACGTTTTTCGGCTCATTACACGACGTTTGGTCAATGAAGTTCGAAACTTTGTCTATTTGAATTTTAGTGGCACATTCTAAAAACGGTTCTTCGGTCTTCCCTGGAGGCGATGGTGCTTCAATAAGTAGGAGTGAGCCATCCAATTTCTATTTCAAACCAGTTTTAATTTTTTCTTTTTCGAATTGATTGGTGATAGGGTGACTCTGCTTATATCTTTGAACATATTTTCATATAAAGAAAATAAATTTTTTTATGTACGGAAATCAACTGTCTTTCATTATATTATGATTTAACATCAATATATATATGGTTTCGAACTGACTTATGACTTTTTCCATATGTTGAACAATACCCGCTTCTGTACAATTATAACAAAAATGTTTGACATTTCACGATAACAAAACATTATAGTTATTTAAAAAAAAAAATATTACGGGCCAGAGAACAGTGGAGATTGAAAGCTAAGATCCATGGATGTAGGATACGGGAATATAAGGGGTTAGAGGTGAATTAAACATTGAATTCTATCCACAACATATTAAACATGTCACAAACACAAATTGAAACCGTTAATACAAACTAATTTTACTACAATATTTTCCGGAAAACCCTAATTTTTATGGAGTTTTCAAAACACACTGCAAATTGGCAGGAAAGCTTCGAGAACCAGGTGCAAATACAGCTGCAAATACATTTTAATTTATGTACATTTATACATATACATACATATTTTCGTAAGCAAATTTTATTCTTTATGGTAATTTTGTGATTAATTAAAATTATTTTGAAGATACTATACCTTCTTTATCCCTAATGTTGAGGAAATGGATCTCTTTACGTCTTCGGAGTAATCCCCCTCAGGTGCTGCCCAATGTTGCTAACCTTCGGCACCAGCAACACATTTTATATTGTCTAACCCGCTAAGGTAGCCATCAGCGCCACAATCGTTTAATCATTTTTCCCCCCCTAACGCGTCGAAACAGCGAATCACGTACCGCTCCGCGATCAGCATTTACTTCATTATATATATTATATTTCCATTTTGCGAAAATATATAAGAACACCTAATTTATCTATTATTTCTATATATGAGAAAATTAAAATCTTAAAAATATTGATACACAAATCTACAAATTAATATTTACATACACGTATGTATATCTGTAAAGTGAATTCCTTTAATTGAAAACGAATATTTTTATCCGCTCAAACCCATACGAATATATACATCGTTAATTTAAACAAAATAAGTGAGAATATTTATTCAAATCGAAGTAGTATTCGTGTTTCTTACACGAAAATGAAAGAATAGTGAACATTTCTGAAAATATTTAATCGAATCAAAGTAACATCCATCACCAATTTTAGCAACAAATATCTCATAAACAATAATTACTTTAAATTCAAAAAGTTAAAATATTGGAAACATTTTTCTCTCATCATTCCTACGAAGTTTCATCTCAAAATTCCTTTGTGTTTGCTAACATAAAAAATTAATGCTATATAATTGAAATTAGCAACAACAACCAGGTCATACCAACAACAACATCAACCAGTACACACCATCATCATCGATGATCCCGTTTCAGCAGGCAGGATGAGTAATAGAATGTCGAAATTACATATATTTATGTTTATAAACCACGCATGTATGTGTGTATATATTATATAAACACATTGTGCCAACAGAAATAAGTTTTGGAAAAATCAGCGACAACGGTACTCGCTTAATCATTCCCTCAAACATACACGTATGTATATTACAGTTTCGGGCATATATACAAGTTAACACCGGATACGCTGAAGCAGCTTTCCCGCAACATACTTTAACTTACGCAAGCGTATAAAGTTCCCAGTGGTCATTATCCCACGGGGAAAACGACACCACACGCGCAATTGCCAAAATGCTGACTCCACACCGTCGCCACATGAGAACGTCTGGCCAGCCAGCCCACAACAACAACAACATAAACGCGCACCTGCACTTGAACGTGACACAGAACTTTAATGTTAAGTAAATAATATTGTAAAATTAGTCTAAGTTTTACTCTGACCCAATAAAGACGGCTTCGGCCAAAAAAATATTTTTTTAATTATATTTAATCAAAAATATAATAACTTACATACATATATATAATTATTGGCGTCAACTGTACAAGCTTGTACACCATCAAGAAAAACCCCGTTAGCCCCTCCCTCGAGTTTGCAGTAACTCAAAATACATATTCCTTATATACATACGTGTATATCAGTGCCGTTTTCTCAAAAAACGGTTTGCAAAGACCCAAATTAGACGGGTAAATTCAAATTCAATATTCTACATACGTGTACATACGACATACGTACCTCATATAAAATACACATGTATATCTGTAGACGTATATGCAAAAATTCTATCCCGTTCGAGCGCAGCACACACTTTTGTTTCCCACTCAGACGCGCTGAGGCATTAAAATTTGCTGCTGGTTAAAATATACTAAGTAAAAGCATTTTATTACAAAACTCTCCCAATTTTACATCCCTTAAATTACACAAATGCCGGAAGATAAGGCAGAAAAAGCAGCATCAAGCAAGATGAACAGATACCTGCAAAAGTTCATCTTGGAATCACACAGACTGAGATCTTCTGCGCAAAATGGTCAACGGACTTGGCGAGTGAGCAAACGGAAACCCTACTCAGTGTCAAAATATAGTAGCTGGACGAAAATTGGGGCCGCCCTCTAGAATCATACGAATCAATATTAATGGCGGACGCATATCCGGAAGTCAGCGAGTCAGTGGAGCAGAAACAAGCTAAATATTCGGTAGTTTCAAAAACTGTAGGGTGCAAATGCTAGAAGTTGCAGCTATTTATAGCGCTTACACCAACTCAAACAACCCAGCATACAACAAATACAAACACAAACTCAGTGGAGTGTGTCTCAAGGTACCAGCATGCAATACTGAAGCATAGTACGGAGGTTACGAAGAGTGGCCGACATTCCGAGACATGTTTACGGCAGTCTATATAAATCACCCTCAATTAACGGAGTTTTAAGTGTTGCTCAAAATCAGTTTACACAGCCGTATACGTTTTGCAGGGATGCCAAATTCGAAAATAGCGAAGTAGACGCTGATCCTATTCGAGCTGTCGAAGGCGGCTTAAAAATCGACGAAGAGGTGAGGTTCGATCCTATTTTCACGGTTCTTTTCCAAGATTTAACGCATGGTGAAAATCTGGTCAATGGTTGACTTACCACTTCATATTCACACATATCGGCCTCTTTCCTTTTTTCTGCTGATGCGTCTTTCTTCCTTCTTCAGCTCTCCATATCTATCCCATCCCGCACGTGTTGTGATCGGCATTAAAATCACCAAGCACGATTTTCATATAGTGGGGGGGGGTTTGCGCTCATAAGTATGATCTGGGCGCTCATAGGACGTGGGCGCGAATAAACGATATCTTGAAAACTTTCGCTTTGATGCGGATTGTGACAAGACGCTTATACATTGGGGTGAACGCCAGTACTCGACAACTGAGTCTCTCTCCCACTACAAATCCACCTTATATGGCCGCTGTAGTAAATGTCACAAGAACCTCCTCGCTGTCGTCCTTGTCCAGTTCATCGCCTTTCTTGAACGGCGGTAATGTCAGCCTTCACTCTTAGTGACGACATCAACCAACTAGACATCGGCACTTTCCCAATTAAGGAACCGGGCATTCCACGTGCATGCCCTCAAATCGTGATCTTTAATTCGCTCGCAGAAAGAGGGTATCTCATCGCGTGGGTAACTTTTTCATTGGAGCTGTTTTCTACTTGGCGGGTCCCAAAACCAGCGCTAGACGATTAAGATTAAAGTTTTAAGACATTTATGTAGGGAGCGGTTTGATTCAAGACCATCGCCCGCTCGCAGCCGCACCTCTGGTTCACAGATGCTGCAATTAGACTTCAGCAGATCCTTGAGCCATATATATAAGGGTGTCTCCACTGACGCTTCCTCTCTTATTAGCCGTGACCCAAGGCTCCACACGGGTTGGTTACCGCATCTTGCACAAGGGTTGCTTACGTTTCCAGGGTGCGCGACGTGGGCGCAAGATTAGGAATTGAAAATATTCTAGCGAATGTATCCGCATACCCAGAAGCTTTACTGCACCGCATAACACCCCAACAGTATGTTACTATGATAATTAATTAAATATTTGAAAATATGTTGCGCTTCGTAGAATTATAGCTATGGACCATACTAAGCCTTGGTCCGCTAAGGATATTCTTGCCCTTTTAAATGACCGATGCAGGATTCACTTAATTTTGAAAACGTTATCCTACCAATGAACGTTGGGACACATATAAACACTTGAGAAATGAAGTAACCAATGCAATTGGCGTAGATAGGCTGAGATTCCATTTTCTAAATATAACTATGCCGTATATGATTCCCATATTTAGACAAATCAGTGGAAAATTTCAAAGTCATTCCGCTCCGCCGCTTTTACTGCTCCACAAAGTTTTAGGTCCATTATCAACATTATCAAAAGTAGTGAAAATCATGGATTACGTCATTACTGCTTATTTACCATCTTAGTAATTTTAGATTTCTCATAAGCTTTCGACACCATAGACCGTCATATTCTTCTGTTAAAACTGAAAAATTATTTTGGTTTCAGCAATCTATCCGTTCTCAGTTCAGGAAAAGTATACATTTTTGTAAACAATTTTATACACTTGCACATAACTAGATAAGGATTTCTCATTGAACGAGATCGTATATTTAAAAAAATAAACCATATGTTTCGTGCTGAGAGCTTTTTCTCCCATTTGAATACAATATTTCCATATGCATAATCCATCGAAATGACAATTGTGAGACACACGTAAGTGCGAGCTATGGAGATGCTCGTTTTATAGCCTATTTCCACCGGACGTTAAATGCATTTTAGCTTAAATGTATTTAAACATCGCATTTAAATGCGGTAATTCCCATGTGTTTGTTGTTGTGTAAAAGTGTGTTAACTCACTTTTCAAAGTGAGTTAACTCACTTTCGGCAATTTAACAGAAAATGTTATGGTAACATTCGATGCTGTCACTACAATGTAATCGTTTCGGAAGTTTCGGTGTACTTCTTGCCAGAGTCGTGTGTTTTCGGATTAAATGAGGGGCGAGATTTTTATTTTGCATGGTGAAATTTTTTGTATAAAAATTCCTTTTTTGCATTAGTTTTATCATAAACGCCTATAATAAGTAATTGGCGAAGAGAATGCTTCTCCGCCTTCAAAAAAAAACTATAAGAAACAAACAAAAAACAATTGTGGAATATCAAACGATCCCCTCAACATAAAAATATACGTCGCTCTGGTAGCTATCAGCTGATTGCGCTAAATAAATAATTTGAGGGAACAAACAAACAAATATGAAAATGGAAACATGCATAAAAGCATATCCGTGTCAGCAACGTTTGTCCGTGCAGAAATAATCAGCACTTGCAAGTCTTAAGATTGCAGAAATAGCCAAATAAAATGAATGCGGTCTCTTGAATTCATGATTTCTATGGTTGTGGCAAATTTTGTAAACTGCAAATGTAAACAAAAATCAGCTGTTTGAGTTAACTCACTTTCGGTGGAAACGTTTGACATTTCATTCACTTAACAGAGGCCTTAAATGCATTTAAGCTCTTGCTGGATTGGAGGCTATTATACGAACGGATATACATATAGTGAAATGATGTGTGCATACATGAGTTATCGACGCTGCTAACAACGACGAAAGGTTGCCAGCCGCAAATGTACCTGCATACTTTTACAAAATTTTATAATATTCGTCACAGAATTTTATAATTTAAATTTTTCAACCTAAACGTCAAGAAAATATACGATTTAAGTTTTCATTTCTTTTGAGAAAACTGCGCATTTTCCTAGTTTATACCCGTATAAGAGCAAGCAATGAATTAAACCGGTTTTGCGGGGAAAATCATATCGCCGCTGGCTGCTGCAGGTCAACCGTCAGTAACGGCATCTGCAAGCGGTGACAACTTTTCATATACATAGCGCTCTTATAAGGTAAGACGCTATGGCTGGGAGGTATGTAAGAGATTAACGGATAACATTAAAAGTTCAAATTGATGTGTGTTGTTCGTGAGACATGTTAGTAAGAACTCGCCAGTAACGAAATGTCAAAACGGCGGTTTCGATGCCTATTTTACTGTCTTTTTGACTCATGGTTCAATTAAAATTAAATTAATATCTTGTTGCCAATAAATTTGCACAGTTATTCTATACAAATTAGAATATACATATGTATATAGTTAAAGTCTCTATTTACCAACAGAGAACATCAACGAAGCGAAACTGGCTAGCGGCATACTCGCATATACTATGTATATTACGCATATGCAAATTCGTTAAGTAATTCCGATTACTAAAACTAATGACGCGAATACCGAATAAATAAATACTACCAATAATATTTAAATTTTATATCTTAATATATGGAAATCATAACACTCTCATACCTTTGTCCAATTACACGGTACGTAAAAAATCCAGTATACTCCTAGTATGGCCGATATTATCAGGACTGTAACCCGTAAATCGGAAAACAATAAAAGTAAAATGTCTGCCAAGTGATTGCAATTTGATATAAAGATGTGAAAGTACATAGTCTTTCAAATGAATCAACCGCTTTCTCGTAGAATGTTTATCCTAAGTTACTGTAAATAAATTAAAAAATAATAATTAATTAATTAATTAACATGATCTGTAAGAAATTATTAATTGGAAATTAACATATTGACTTTGTTCTGTTCATATTACTTTGCTATGATTGTTCACACATTCTATTCATAAAGGCGACAGAGGTGAAACTAATTTTCGGACAGCCAATGCTAAGAACAAAACCAAAAGCAATAAACGAAACGACGCCGTTTAGTTCGATAACATGAAAAATGAAATTATCGAAAAGATTATGTTTCGTTTTGGTCCCATGTTATCGAAACGAAAAGAGTTTGTTAATTTTAATTTTTTAAAATTGAGGCTGGCTTTGCACACTTAATTTTAAAGTTTAACATTGTATGTTAGCAATTTAACATTAACGAAAAAAACTTGAAATAAATTCAAATTTTTTGCAAAAATTTACACTTTTGTTATCCATGTACCAGTCTTTGTAACAACTTATCGTCTGCTACTTCTACATATGAATATACCTATAGTAGTACAGTATTAGTTAATTTTGTGTATTTATTGGAAATAATATTGAACTTCGCAAATACATACGGAGGGCCTGACGTTCCCATCTGAGGCCTACAAAATTACAAAATTTAACTTAAGTTTTTATTTAAATTAATTTTCTATAACTTTTGGATGTTGATCGTACCAGATCGCTAGCCTTCCGAATGGTAGTAAGTTGTGCTAACCACTCTGCTGCCGCGACTATTTCAATGGAAATAAAAAATTTAAGAGTAAATAATTCGGGTGTAACAAACAGGCTAAGATATACATGCATGCAAATCGGTTCACGAAAAGCAAAAACAACACGAGCTCTCTAAAAAAAGATAAACAAATGAACAATAAACTCATCATAAGTAGTTGTTGTTGTAGAAAAAGAAAAACCAAGCAATAGACATAATAAATATGTCGGCTCATTCGCTTGGTGATAGTTCAAATTTCAGCGATGTGGTATCTTTTGTAAAAATTTGTTTACTGTTAGTAAATTTTGCATACAATCGTATATTAAAATTAATGAAACTTATTAATAATATAAAATGTGTATATTTAATCATGGAAATAAAAATGCTTCTTGATTCGCTGAACTATTCAAAGTCACCGTATAACTCGTACAGCTCACCGTTCCCAATGCGAAAAGGACTATAAATCTTACGCAAAATCTATCTCTCGAAAACTCTTAGCGCCGTCTCATTGGATACTGTCATCGTCCATGCTTCTGCATCATATAGCAGGACGGGAACGATGAGGGGCTTGTAGAGTTTGGTTTTCGTTCGTCGGGAGAGGACTTTACTTTTCAATTGCTACTAAAGTAGCACCTATTGGCAAAAGTGATAATGTGCTAGATTTCAAGGCTAACGTTTTTATTGGTACTATATTAATACTGGTTCCTAGAAAGACGAAATTATCTACGACTTCAACGTTATAACTGTCAACAGTGACGAGGGAGCTAAGTCGCGAATGCAATGACTGTTTGTCATCGTACACTTTCTCTTCGTTTCTTTATCAAGTTTGGAGAAAGCGAAACTAACGGTGCGGTTGCTGAGAAGATTGTACCTTCTCTATTCAGCTCTGCCGTTCATATTATTTTCTCCAGCATAAAATTGAAGAAGTCACACGATAAGGAGTCGCCTTTGAAGTGGTGGGTGTCAATCCCCTTTTCACGGGTCTTTATATTTATTGGGTGGAGCACTCTTCAATTCCAATCGTCGTGTATGCTCTCGTCTGACCATATTTTGCAAAGTAGCTGATGAATGCATCTTGTCAGCTACTCACCTCATGGTTTGAATAGTCCTGCCTGGCCGCTAGTTCCTGCCGCTTTATTGTTTTTTAAGCGGGCGATAGCTATTCGAACTTCTTCATGATCAGGTAATGGAACGTCTTTGCCATCGTCATCGATTGGGATTTCGAGTTCACCATCTCCGGATTCTCCATTTTCACTATTATTTAGCAGGTTGGAGAAGTTATAAAGGAAATTTATGGAGGGAACATAAACTCAGTATACTCTGGGCGTCGGTGGCTAGATCATCGTATCTTCTCATAGAATTTTCGAACATTACCGTTGCCAGCCAGCCTCTCAAGCTCGGCAGTCTGTTGTGTTTGCAACTTTTCAACGTCGAACTTTCCTTGTGTTTATTAACGAGAGTTCTTCGATACACAGAGGCGCATGCGTATCTTCGCTGCAACAAGATATTGGTCCGAGTCGATGTTGAGTCCTCGCAGTATATGCACCTCAAGAACACTGGATACTTCTCTTGCGTCTATCACAACATTATCGATCTGGTTTTGTTTTTTTCGATCAGGGGACAGCCAAGTAGCTTGATGTATTTTTTTACGCTGAAATCTAGTACAATCATATTTCAGGCCTCGGTGAAATCGATCAGCCTTAAACCATTAGAGGATGTTTCGTTGTGAATGTTAAATTTTCCAACAGTCGTACCAAAGATACCTTCTTTGCCCACCATGGCATTAAAATCACCAAGCACGATTTTCACGTCACGTTGAGAGCAGCGCTCGTAAGTGTCCTCTAGGCGCTCATAAAAGGCATCTAAGGCTAAATCGTGTTTCTCTTCCGTCGGGGCGTGGGCGCAAATTAACGATATATTGAAAAACTGCTCTTTGATGTGGATTGTGGCGAGACGCTCATCCACCTGGTGAATGCCAATACTCGACGACGGAGTCTCTTTCCCACCACAAATCCAACACCAAATTTGCGCTGTTTTGTATGGCCGCTGGAGTAAATGTCACAAGAACTTACTCGTTTTCACCCTTGTCCCGTCCATCGCACTTCTTTGACGGCGGTAATGTCAGCCTTTATTCTTACAAGGACATCAACCAGCTGGGCAGGGGCACCTTCCCAATTCTCAAAACGTGACCTTTAATTCATTTGCGGGGGTCGTCAACAGAAAGGGGTATCTCATCCGAGACGTTGCAAAATTTTTTATTGGAGCTGGATTCTACTTGGCGGATCCCAAACACAGCGCACAACCTCGCTAGGCGAGTAAGATTAAAATTTTTTACACTTTTATGTAGCGAGCCGCTTGCTTCGAGACCGACGCCTGCTCGCAGTAGCACCTCTGATGAACAGACGCAGCAATTAGACTTCAGAAGACCCTTAAACCGAATATATAGGAGTGTCTAAACTAACGCTTCCTCTCTTATTAGCCATGACCCAAGGCTCCACACGGGTTGGTTACCGCATCTTACACAAGGGTTGCTTACGTTTCCAGGGTGCGCGACGTGGACGCAAATAGGCACGCTACTGGAAAGTTGCCAGAAGCGTTTGTTTTTGTATCAGGTGAATAACATATAGAGTAACAAAAATATCCCAGAATTTACATCGGTGAATAAATATCGCATACCAATGAATACAATGTGAGTGAATGAAAAATAGAATCTCACGAATATATGTATACGGCGGAGAAATTTATTCATTTTATCCCACGGCTAAAACAAAAGTGATAAGAGGATTAAGAAAAATATATGACTGAAGAATAAAAGAAATCTACCATGTTGAGTAAAAGTTACCGTTGCAAAACACGCAAACCCAAGCGCATGAGAATTTCAATTTTAATTGAAATATTAAAACATGTTTTTTTACTACTTACTACTAGTAATTATTGCAAATGCGCCAATAAAAAGTTATTAATAAAATTAAATTTGAATATTAAGCTATGAAAAAACATGAAAATATGAATTTCCCGGCAAGTGATAAAAAAGTAGATATCGCAAATGAACGCATGATTGGTAAGTGTAAGTAATAAGGTTGCAACCAAAAGGAAACAAACAAACACTTACTCGGTCTGGTATTTGGAAACGAAATTAAGAGGACTTAGATATGCCCTGGCATCGTCGTGTTGATTTTCAGGGATCAATTCAGCCGTGGGAGCAGCAGTTTCTACTTTTCCTTTTCACTCAAGGTCTAGCTATTTGCTGCTTTGTTTTCTATACCCCGAAAAATTTTTTATTCATTGGTTTTCTTTTCTTTTTGGGAGAGTTTGGGTTAGCGTCTGCTTTTTTGAGTATCGATCTGCATTATCTCTTCACTTCCAAAAGGTCATACCAAATAATAAAACCGAATTTGCTTGAAGGCGTTTCGTGCTGCTATATATACACATTGATAATTCGGCTTTTTTAGTAAAATTTTCATGGGAAAAAATCGATTTGAAAATTCGCCGTTGACAAAATAAAATTAAAATGTTGGCGGCTTTAAACGAAGTTAGTTATATGCCGATGAATGCGAACCATTAGCAACGTGGTTACTACCCGTTTACCACTAAAAGTAACAACAACATAAAAACATGTTTTTGAAGTAAAATTCTAAAATTAAAATCAGCTAAGCCTAGCGAAGAATTTACATATAATATATACATTTTTTGACATTTAAATTTTGGCGTGGATGTTCAGTTTGTCGTAAAAAAGACAGGAGTACATATGTACAATACTTATTTTTCTTCAAATTTATATTTGGAATACAGACGCATAGTGTGGTGATATAAGAATTAACATAGAGACCTTGAAATATCAATGATAAGCACAGAATACCTGACAAAAATATGTGTCGAAATAATAATCATACTGATAGGATTTTGATCATTTTCACAAAATTATTTAATTGTTATAAATAATAAGAAAAGTTACAAAATCCACAAAAGTAAAGTGAAAAAACATCAATCAAATTGAATAGCTATGATCAGAAAAAATGAATCGCACACAAATTTTACAAGGGATTGTTCCTTCTGGTACATAGGAGTTGTAACATAGACTGAGTTTATAATGGAACAAGCGAGGGTGGTGCGGAGGTTTAGCTCTCCTTTCTATTCGATATATTTCCATCATTTGAATGAGTGAGTCTACTGCACCTTTAGTTTTGTTGTAAAACGCGCTTAAATTCGGCTCTTCTCGGATTGAATTGATTGATTCTAAGCCACGATGAAATGAATTTGAGGTGCGCATAGATGTGCTTAGTTTGGCTACATCAAAACTGGAC